CAACCCTAACCCTGAACCTCCAGATGCTGCCTGCACAGCCAGAAACAAGAGTTTAACCCTAACCCTAACCCTAACCCTAACCCCAACCCTAACCCTGAACCTCCAGATGCTGCCTGCACAGCCAGAAACAGGAGTTTAACCCTAACCCTAACCCTAACCCCAACCCTAACCCTGCACACACCAGCCAGAAACAAGAGTTTAACCCTAACCCTAACCCCAACCCTAACCATAACCCTCCAGATGCTGCCTGCACACACCAGCCAGAAACAGGAGTTTAACCCTAACCCTAACCCTAACCCTAACCCTAACATCAGGCATTAACATCAGCCGGTTCCTTTTGCTTCTGGTTCTGGTTTTCTGGTCTTTAGACGTTTCTCCGCTCATATTAACGGCTTCACTATCCACTGTTGAAGTTCATGTGGGAGTTTACGTGCCTGAGTCCTCTGCGGAGAGCCTGGAAAACCCTGTCCACCTGCTCGGGCTGCATGGACCCGATGGAGCCTCTGCCGGGGGACAGGTGCATTCTGGGAGTTTTCCCCCCTGTCATGGTTTTGGAGCGGAGAGAGCTTCTCACAGACGCCGACCTGAAACCCAGAAACACAACGAGGAGCTCAGTTCTCAGCCCAGCTCTGTCCTCTGTAGGGAACAAAGGCTTAATCCAACCCACAAACACTTTGTTTCTACCATCGGTTACAATAATATTAATGATTGGAATAATAAATATTATAATATTCCTAAGAAATGAGCACAGGTTTCTGTTACCATTTTTATTCGTCCAGTTTGGTTTTCAGTTCCCATTTTTTTCTCTCGTTGATTATCAGACCTGATGGGCTTTTCCCAGAGTTCCTCCTCTCTGGACAAACTGACCTCTAACTAAACTGATCTTTGACCCCCTCCCCATCTGTCCCTAAAACGATCTGCCCCCCCCCCCAGCCGAGTCCTGGTGATAAACTACACATTGTTCCTATCATCAATAATCCAACCACAACCTTTTGTTTACCTTTCTCATAAATGTCCCTAAATCAACAGAACAAAGTAGAGGACATAGGTAGTTTCTGTTATATTCGTGTTTGATAATGACCAGGCTTCTTGTCTTGCTTCACACGTTTTATTAATGTTTCCTCATGCGTCTGCTCACACAGGTTCTTTACAGGTGTGTCCCCCCAGACAAGCCTCTTTCTCTTGGCCTGTTCTTTACATTTATGCATTCACATGAACTCATGATTGCCACTTAGTGGACATGAGCCTAATTCAATCATCACAGTTCCCTCCCTCCGGATTGTGACTGAGCATAAACACTAATCTGGGGGCTGTTGTTATAGCCAGTCCTCTGTAATTACAGCTGAGGGTTTAAGCCTTTGGTCGTGTGATGTTTGGGCTCTGTGGCGTGTTTTGTCTTGTCGTCTGCACCATCAAAGGGACGCCTCCCTCAGGACGGCCACCGGGGGGCGCTCAGGCCCGCCTCAGCCCCGGGTCCACAAACAGCCTGTCCTGACCCTCCCCACTCACAGTGGACATTAAACTGACCCTTCCCACTCACAGGGGACATTAAACTGACCCTTCCCACTCACAGGGGACATTAAACTGACCCTTCCCCACTCACAGGGGACATTAAACTGACCCTCCCCACTCACAGGGGACATTAAACTGACCCTCCCCACTCACAGTGGACATTAAAGTCTCCACTCTCTATCCTCGTTCTGGGTCTGACCACAAACACAACAGGAGGATATTTGGTCTAATCACGCTTCAGAAACCAGTTTCTCCTGACGGGTTTTTCTGTCTCTGTGGGCTGAAAGCAGCCGGGTTAGGGTTAGGGTTAGGGTCAGGGTCAGGGTTAGGGTTAGGGTCAGGATGCTTCCTGCTCTGGTTAAGCTCTGACAGAAACACCAACATCTGATCCAGCAGAGTCCAGAGAACCAGAGTCCTGCTGCTTCTCCTCCAGAATGAGGTTAGGGTTAGGGTTAGGGTTAGGGTTAGGGTTAGGGTTAGGATGCTTCCACCAGAGTCCAGAGAACCAGAGTCCTGCTTTTCTCCTCCAGAATGAGGTTAGGATTAGGGTTAGGGTTAGGGTTAGGGTTAGGATGCTTCCACCAGAGTCC